CGCCTATTCCCCCCCCCCCCCAAAGTAGGGTGTAGGAGTTGTAAGCAAACGGCCAGTCTTGATTTCGTAAGAAATACTTTGAAACGCACGTATAGCAGCAGAGGCGTTCCGTTGACTTGAAATTGCTTATGTGATTATTGAGGATGGGCATTTAAGAGATAATATATTGGAGATGTATTTCAAAGTCAAATGGACCTCAGGTTCTTTGAACTAGTGTACAGCAGTTTTATATTAATCCTGGACTGGTGGAGTTTTCCTCCTCTCTCCTATTGTTACAGTTTGAGATTATTCATTAAAACGAAACAGGAAAATTCAGGACCAACTGCAGGATTTGTTTTCCATTTTGCAGGCTTTGAGTGAATAGTTAAACTGGAATTTGCTGCTGGCAGTTGTGATCATAGGAGGCAGTTTGGATGGATCCAAAAGAGGACTGGATATATTCATAGAGGATCAGGATATCTGGGATGGGAATGTTATGGCACCATGGTGGTATCTAATAGTTTTAATTTTGTTGAGTTTTGTTTATCATTGTACGTTGTTGTTAGCGGCCCTTGTAGAAGATGGGTGGACATATAAATCTTATACATAAATACCTCTGAATCATGGACACTGCAGCTTACCCTTTCATGTGGCCCATACCTCACTCACATAGCAAAGGGAACCGTGGTTAGAAGTAGGGCAGCAGCTTGCCAATCTCAGCCAGGCTCTAAGGATGGTCCCTTAAGCTAGTTGCTAGAAGAAAGTGTGGCTGTGTATGTATGTTTATATATGTCTGTAGGTTTATATATGAGAAAATGTACTGAAAGAAATATTGACACTATTGGTTGTATATGGTATTTGTCCCCTAGGTTTTATTTCCCCATGCAGAGTCTCTCTGCCACTTTGGTACATCATCCCTGGAGGAACATTCAGAATTTGGAAGATTAATTTATACTGGAAATTTATCAAAAACTGTATTAGGTAAGTGTGTTGGGCAGAGCTTCTTATTTTTATTTTTTTCATGAATGAGAATTCTTGTCATATAGAAATGTATGCAAAGTGCATAATGATAACTTGTATTTATTTGTTTATGTGCTTAAATCTCTTATTTAAGAGACTGATAGCTTAACCCAGGCATTTGGGGACTAATAATAATAATTTTTAAAATTTATATGCCATCCAACTCCCAGAGACTCTGGGCAGTTGCTAGGAGAAAAAACATTAAGATGCTTTCTCTGTTACATATTACTTTTTATCTTGCCTAAAAACTAAAAGTAATTTTAGGGTATCTTAATGGCTCCTTTTAGTCTGTTGGAAAACACAGGGGCTAGAAGGAAAGAAATGCTGATGAGTGGACAACAACAATCCATGAAGCAGTTGGATTTAAACAAGATTCTCTGCTGCCTTGAATTAAGCCTAAGACAAAAATGGAAATGAATTTCCTGGCTAATGCAAAAACTCTTCATTCTCTCTCAGCCCAACCCATCTCACAGGGTTATTGTTGTGGGGAAAATAGGAGGCAGAAGTATTAGGTATGTTCACCGCCTTGAGTTATATATAAAAAAGGCAGGATAAAAATATGATAATAATATGATGTTGTCAGTAGAATTTTGTGTACAACCACATGAAGAATGAGTAATAGCCAGCTGGGTGTAGCCGAACTACACTCCAAAGTGTAGCCGAACTACATTATTTTCTCTTGGTTTTTGAGATACAGTGGTACCTCGGGATACGAACGCCTCTACTAACGAACTTTTCGGGTTACGACCAGCTCCAGCTGCAAAAATTTGCCTCGATGTGCGAACTCCGCCTCGGGGCATGGTCATTTTCCCGCCCTGACACGTGGTCCGCGGCCATTTTTCCACCCCGACACATGGTCCGCGGCCATTTTCCCGCCACGCCGTGGGGCGCCCGGCCTTTTTCCCGCCCTGCGGCGCCCGGCCGCTTTCCTGCCGCGCAGCACCCGTCCATTTTCCCGCCCCTGATGCGTGGTCCACGGACGCCAGAACGGATTAACGGTGATTACATTGAACCTTATAGGAAAATTTGCTTCGGGGAGCGACCAAATTCGGAGGGTGGAATGGAT